CCCTGCTAGAAGTAAAGGGTTGGTTAGCCACTAGTTGGACGCTTGTGCTGCATCATACAATGACGGTGTTTTTGACTAGTGGTTTCTTAGCGTCCTAAATTAGCAATTGAAGATAAATTTGGGAGGGTATTGTGTTGATGTTGCTAACGCCTATGTCATTGCAATAAAAAAATTGTGAAGAGGCTAGGCTGAAATGTCAAAGACAAGTCAAGCTCTCCATCACTTCCCCATGCAGGCCGACTTCAAAATAAAAGCTACCTCAGGCTCTTGCATTTGCATCATTGTATAATGTGGGAATCCTTATTTTGAAGGTTGCCTTTGTGTTGGTGGCATGTTAAATTATGAGAATGTTTGCAGCTTCCTTGACACGTCGAAATGATGGCGCACACACAGAAAAAATAAACTGTTACCCAATCATATATAATTTATTTTATTTTGAGTCACTAAAACTACTTGCGAATTCATTTCACCTATAGTTGCCAAAATGCTCCCATAAATGCAACTTACATGATTCACTGGCGGTTTAAAGTTCCTCTGTTGCTATTATAGTGAATGGGGATGCACCTTTTTTTTTGATGCCTGAACCATATGGATCATCAAGGATATATGATCTGTTGCACCACTAATGTTAATGTAGTACATACCGTATGTACAGTATGTGATCTGCTTATTTTTGAATAACCCTAAAGTTCTTTTGCCATCTGTTTTTCCTCTTCCTCTCAGTGGGCGACAGTAACCTTCCAGCTTCCTCACCATGTGCTGAAGCTGGTTGCCAGTGCCATTGTCAGTGAGCTCAAGAAGATTAACCAGAACATTGCTGCCTTGTCTGTGGCCTCATCCATTATGGACAGACTTTCCTACCTCTTGTCAAGCGCCCGACCTGAGCTTGGAGTGGGTCCTGGGCGCTCTGTAGATAGGTGAGGAATCTGCAAAAGAGGGAACAAACCCCTCTATTAACTAGGGATGCTCCAATTGATCAGTGTCCGATGGGTGGATATTCGTTGAAAAAGTGCGGGATTGATGAATCTGTTGAAAATCGCCCTGTAGATCTGTAGACCTATAGATCTGTAAATTTTACACCGAACATTGGCCGATCACACTCATGGATGATCGGGATCGGCAGCTTAAAACCCTGACCGGAACATCCCTACAATTAATCATTTTGGAATTCTGGTCCAAGCATGAGAAGACTTTATGCAAAGCTAAACAAAAGTCAGCATCTTTCAAAGCGTAATTCTGTATTTTGGCATTGAGAATTGAGAAGTACTCTACACAAACTGTGTGTGGTATTGCACCATGATTCCATAATAGATTTGCCAAGCTTTGGCATCGGTTCTACAAGAGTCGAATGACCTGTATTAGGGGTTCCAGTAACCCATTGTAATACTGTATTTTGGCATTGAGAATTGAAAAGTACAATACACAAACTGTGTGTGGTATTGCACCATGATTCCTTTAATAGATTTGCCAAGCTTTGGCATAGGTCCTACAAGGGTCGAATGACCTGTATTAGGGGTTCCAGTAACCCATACTCCCGAGGACCCTCCGCAGAAAGCTACGAATGACCCAGTCCACCGCCATCTCCAGGTCTAACCTCAGGTAGACTTGTTGGGCAAACTTCCATGCAACCTCCAGGACCAGAAAAAGTAGACCTCCACTGTCAAATGAACTTGAAATAACGGCTAGATCCCCCTCTGCAGAATCCCCCCACATAGGTTTTACCAGAATTCCCTTGAATCCATATGTAAGTCGTTTTCAATAGCACTACCAAGTTTGTGCCTCAGTAAGCTTCAAAGCCGTGCTCCACTTAGCCTTCTGCAGTTATCCATCAGCTGCCTCTGGGCTCTTAACAGGGCAAAAAAATCTGAAAAGACGCCTTCTTTAGCCCTATCAACCAACTGATTCGTGGATTGCCGCCTCCGCAGGCACCGACTACCCTATGGCCATAGCTCTGGTCGGCCGCCTCCACAAATGTCCGCCTCAACAAATGTCACCACGGAACACAGCCTACTTGGGCTCAGCGCTATGAATTTGCTTTTCTCAGGATGCGGTCATAGTTCTGCCGGAGATCAAGGTGGGGCGCTGCCTCTCACCAAATTTCAGCTGAGACAGTATCCACCTCACTTGTGGCCCCAAACAGTATGAGTGGTTAAAAAAAAAAAAAAAAAAAACCCTATCCTCTCACCAAATTTCAGCTGAGACAGGGTCCACCTCACTTGTGGCTCCAAACAGTATGAGTGGTTAAAAAAAAAGAGTAAATGAATAATCTAGCAGTAAATTCAGCTCCAAGGCATAGTTGTTTTTTTTTTTTTCTGTACACTGATACCAAAAACTGTTTCCTACAATCAAATGTACTTTACAGCATTTCCAGAATATATCAGATGTTATTCTGATGCTCTTTTTGTCCCCTGTAGATCTTTAATGTACAGCGAGGCAAACAGGAGGGAGACGTTTACATCATGGCCACATGCTGGGTATAGGTGGGCTCAACCTGATCCAATGGCTCAGGCAGGATTTTACCACCAGGTGGGTTCAGAGAGAACTTTACACATACCCATCATCACCTCTGAGAAAAACGTGTCTTTAACTCAATTTGTCATAGATGGTGGTTTATGGTACCAATACAAGATGATGCTGGCCTTTAAAGTACATTCAAATTTTTTTTCGTACACTGACACCAAAAACTGTCCTATAATCAAATGTACTTTACAGCAGGGGTCCCCAACCTTTTTTGCCCCACTTTTTTTTCTGTACACTGATACCAAAAACTGTTTCCTACAATCAAATGTACTTTACAGCATTTCCAGAATATATCAGATGTTATTCTGATGCTCTTTTTGTCCCCTGTAGATCTTTAATGTACAGCGAGGCAAACAGGAGGGAGACGTTTACATCATGGCCACATGCTGGGTATAGGTGGGCTCAACCTGATCCAATGGCTCAGGCAGGATTTTACCACCAGGTGGGTTCTGAGAGAACTTTACACATACCCATCATCGCCTCTGAGAAAAATGTGTCTTTAACTCAGTTTGTCATAGATGGTGGTTTATGGTACCGATACAAGATGATGCTGGCCTTTAAAGTACATTCAAACATGATCTTTAAAATATGCAGGCATTCATTGATAAAAACAAGTCGTGCGAAGTTAACAAATTGGTAGTACAGCTGTGTAAGTGGCTATAAACCACCTTGACCCTCTCTCTCTTTCCATAGCCTGCTTCATCAGGGGATGACAGAGCCATGTGTTTCACCTGTAGTGTATGTCTGGTGTGCTGGGAACCAACGGATGAGCC